GTATGGCTTGTCACTTGATTATCTTCTGTGCTCCCTGAGGTCGGAGACTAAGGCTGTGTTGTCATTTCTAACCCCAGAACCTAGCAGTGACTGGAGCCATCTGTGCAAATGTTTATTGGATGGATTTTTAAAACATGATTATACTTGTTTTTTCCCTTTAACATCTATTGAAGTAGAGTAAGTTTTGGTCTTCAAATTGTAAATACATACAACACCTGTACCTGCTTTACATTCTTTCCAGAGGAAATAGTTTGATAGGATAACAAGGGCATTTGGAGAAAGTCCAGCCAGGATTTGGGCTTCCAGATACCAAGATGGCTAAAGGCAGCTTCAATCATAGTGAAATCTAATTAGTAGGAAAAAAAAATCTGCACGTTGTCCAAGAGTATAATGAGAATAAGTCAGAATGAGATCCTTCAGATGTGCTCATTTCCATTTCTTAATTATCCAGGGACAAACTTGGAGTTCATGGACTTTTCAGGCCATTTCCTTGTCTTCCTTCCACCTCATCTCGGCTGACATGTGGGCTGTCAGAGCTTTGGGGATCTCAATCAAAAGGTGGGAAGGGGAATGAAAGGAGACAAGAAAACTGTACCAGTGAAATTCTTTCTAGTGAACTGGACATTTATTGATTTATTTATTTAGTTTAAAGAATGAAGGATGTATTTTACTTATTATTGAGGAAAAGAAAGTTGATTTTCCATATAATGTTGCTACATAATTTGGTGTAATTTAGTAGCCCGCGCATTCTGTATCTCTTTTTTGTGGAGGTAGCCGGCCACTGGCTACATGAAGTTTATTATACACATTTCTAGCAGTAACAGCAAGTGCCATTTATTCAGAGCTTATTACCTGCCAGACGTCATGCTTGTTTTTGGAGGAGTCCCCATGTGTTTCGCAGAAACCCTTCACGGGAGGCTATTATTATTATCCTCACGTAGCAGAAGAGGAAACAGCTTTAGAGAAACTTCACGATCTAAGTGACAAGGCTGAAATTCAAGCCCAAGTTCTTAAGAACTTCCCTCCTTGGCTGCCTCAGCCTAACTCACACTGCCAGTACCTCATCAGTATAACCCCTCCTCACGTCGACAGTTCTCGAGATGATGAAAGTGACTTCTAGACGAAAGATACGATGAGACAGTGACTTCGAGATCTTCTACGTTGTAATCCAACACACCCCAGACGATTTCAACCATTATTTACATTGACAAACCATGTTCTCTTCTAAGTTAAATATAGGCAATCATTGTCATTCTGATAATGTCCCCCCTAGTTTCTCTGGATAAAAGAGGAAGGTTCTGAATAAAGTGATTGATAATGTCTGTTCTAAAATGTCACTACCTTTTTGAAACAAAACTCATTTTGCCTGTCAGTTTGAGAGATGTGGATGGTGTCCTGAGATGAGAGAGCCAGTCAAAACAAACGACCTTTCTCAGTACCAAATTTTACTGGTTGCCATCATGTGGCTGCAAGGAAACAAAATATTTCTGGGTACCAGAATGATTATAAATGACTAATTCTATTCTTTGAAATATTTAAATATGTATGTCTTTAAAAACCAGATACTGCCTCTTTTGGGCAACAGCTTGTCAGTTTAGCAAAGATGTTGAATTATAGTGTCACAGACAAAAACAAATTCTGTACATTTAATATTCTGGGTGGTATTAAAATTCTCATCACCCTATTGCTATAGATGGTACGAGACTCACCTCCCCAACTAAATAACACATTTCAGAACAACCTATTGTTATCCTAATTCCGTATATACCAATAGGCAGAACAATAAACATTCCATCTCATGCTGAACTGCAGTGGAATGTATACAAAAAGGAAAAAAATAGAACTCGAGACATTTAGCAAAGTGTGACACCGAAAGAGAACCAACTCTACCTTGCGTTCTGGACAACCATGACTTGACTGCATTGATTCCAAGCGCGAGAGTGAAGGACACAGCGGGAGAGTAGGAAAGACAGGAAGAAAAAAGTTAGGAACAGAAATAAGGAAAAAATGTGAAAATAACAATTAGAAGAGATATACCATAATATATTAACAACATGAAGCAGAAAATAATCTTAGAACTAAAGTGAAAATAATACCTCACAAGTGTAATAAATTGCAAAGCCTTGGCCCCTATAATAATTAAGAGCAATTTAACAAAAGGGCTAAGATTGAGTAGAAGTAGTACATTAGCTGCTTTTTAACCAAATCCTCCCCAAAAGGTGTGTGTTGTTTGACAGATTGCATGGGGATAGCTTTAGGTGGGAAATTCACTCTTCATTTCACTATAGTTCCCATCTTCACTGTTACCTGTCCCAGAATGGACTGAAATATTCATACTTCCTGCCTCACCTTTTGGTTATTCAAGTGTGCAATAGTTAACTGAAACACATACTGTAATAAATTAAAGATAGCCACTCTCTTACAGTATAAAAGGTGACACTCCCAGAGGTGAGAGAAGATAGAAAATAAGACAGTGCTTTATTTTCATTCAGTCATTAGCAAATGCTCATTAGAGATATACCCTCCTATTATTATATAATATATTGTATTAGAGATTTCTTCTTGTCCTATAATACTGTCATTAAATAATACTGAAGGTCTAATGACCCAAATCAAAGTTAGAACGAAGTTATCAGTCTGTTGTTAAATTTATGTTAAAAAAAGGTAGCAGGGGTTGTAGGGAGGGATAAATTAGGAGTTGGGGATTAGCAGATACAAATTACTATATATAAAATAGTATAAATATATAAAATAGATAAACAAGGTCCTACTGTATAGCACAGGGCATTATATTCAATATCTTGTAATAAACTAGAATGTAAAAGAATATACATATATGTATAACTGAATAATTCTACTGTATACCAGAAACTAACAAAACATTGTAAATCAACTATACTTGAATCAAAAAGTAGCCACATTTCAGTTATAACTGTTACTTAAAGATATAAACTACCATAAAGTAAAAACTCCCCTTTTCTATTCTATATGGCTAGTTGGTAATCTCTATAAATTAAATTCTATGAATTAAAACTAGAGCAACAAAACCAGCAATTCTAAGTTTCTAAATGAAATTATTGGATAGGATGAAATTAAAGGTTGGATACCAAATTTGATATAGCACTTGGCAATTTTCAAATTATTTTCTGAGTACTATCTAATTTGATTCTCCTGACAAATGACACATTATGGCTCTGTCTACCTTGGCTCTTTGAATATTGAGAAGGAAACTGAATCTCAAAGACTTGGTGATTTGCCCGTGGTGATGAAAGTAGTAAGCAGCAGTGAGATGCAATGTATAACTGTAGTTTAGATCCTCTTCAAACAAACCAACTACAGTCAAAGAACATGATTATATGATTCCAGTGTTTTGAAACTGGTTGAGGTTTGTTCTATGGCCCAGAAGATAGTTTAGCTTGGTGAATATTCCCTGTGCACTTGAAAAGAATATGTATTCTGCTACTGATAGGTAAAATATTCTATAAATAACACTTAGGTCTTCAAATTGACTAGGAAAATATTATGCAGTAATTGGGGAAAGGATTACTTAAAAATTAAAATGAAAATTATTATGGTTATGTGGTATTATGATTATTTTTAAAATGCATTTTTAGAAATATGTAATATTTGTAGAAAAAATTACAGAAGTTTAGAAATACACACAATAATATTTGCAGAAAAAAATTACAATAGTTGAGATCTACTTTAAAATAATCCATTTAGAGGGAGTGGATGAGGATAAAAATGAAACCTGTTTGGCTAGGAAGGGGTAACTGGTGAATCTGAGTGAGGGGTACATACTGGATCATTATACTATTCTTCTTAATTATACTTTCAACAACTGACATTTTCCAAGTAAAGTTATATTTAAATGTCACTCCTCAAATTAAATGAAAACCAAGTAAAAATAAAACCAGTCTTCAAATTAGCAGACCCAAATTATTTTTATCATACCTCCAATTATTGATTGCTTATAGTTCCATCATACTCATTCGGCTACTATAAATTGCTCAGATAAAGGATCATTATCTGTTAGGTCCAAATTATAGTTCTGAAAGCCATCCTTGAGTACTGATTTACATACCAGAAAAAGCAATTTGCATTTATTATGTGAAAATTAAACATCTCTAAAGAGCATTTGCTTTTTATGAACAGTTTACGTATCACACAAGAGATTTAACGAGACGTATCTCATTTATTAACCAGAATCAACATTTCAAATATTACTCTTGTTCTTCTTCTTTCAAAATTTTAAAACACTGATTTGAAAATATGCATATAAATAACGGCACATCAACAAGTCACTTACAAACATTTAACGTACTGAATAACCTATGTGTCCTATAAATTAAAATAGTAACTGATGAGTTCTGGAACATTGGTTTCACAAATATATCTAGGAAAGTAAAGTAATTCTTTAAATCTGCCAGAAATAATTCTTCAGTGATTTCACCGCCTATCTGATGGGTCAGAGCACAAGTGGTTTCCGGAATTAAAATACTGATGTGCTCTCATCCAGGCAGGTTTTGTCACAGTCATGGCTCTCTTAAAACTTCTTAAGACTTCATTACAAATTTTTAATTCCACCTCATCTACCAGTTGGAAGTAAGTAAATATGACATGTGGATGAAACTAAGGAAAAGATACTAAACTCTTTGAAATAAGAGACCAGAAGGCACTGACATTATTTTTTAAACCATTTTTTTTAAAAACTGCAATACTTAGAAGACATTGCTTCTTTACTTACCCTCGCCCTGGAAGAAGATACACCTTAACAAAGGGGTCCGAGTAACCATTGTTGTCTCGGGGGACAAGGTTTCTTGCTTGGAGAATATGTATTATGAGATTTCCAAGATCATAGTTGATTTGAAGCTTAAAGGGAGAGCAAAATATTCCATGAACACTATTTTTTTGTTTTAAAAAACATATACTTTATCATTTAATAATTTAGCAGTATTTTTTTAAATTCTCATAATAAATGTCAACAATCACTTCCATTTTATTTGAAACTGAACAGACTGGTTAATGTCTAATTTAATTTGGAGTTCCCAGGCACATGTTAATTACTAGTAAATGTGCTGTTCATTCTTTCCATGGTGAAAGTTCTGGCCTGTCTAAAATTCATTTAGAAGGACCATCATATAGTGAATGCTAGTTACATTTTTAAACTAAATTTCTACTCTTAGGCAAACAGTAAATGTTGTTAATGCTCATGAATATAGTTGCCAGAGTTTTGAAAATAAATCAACTAATTGATAAATTTATCTTTCGTATTTCACCCAATATTTAGCAGTGGGTGGAATAATTATTTAAAGACAAAGCCGCCAGTACTAAAATGTAAGCATATTTAAGAATGTGTAAATTTTATCTCTTCCTATATTACATTCGTTGATGTTAAACCTATAGCTTTTCTTTCTGTGCCTGCTATTTTAATAGAATGGGAGATCAGTATAATGCCATCTTGTTCTTTAATTTTAGAGGCTGAAGAGAAGAGGCATTGCCTCAAATATGCTTAAGTTGCTATTGCACGGTTGTCACTGAATAGGAAAAGACTTACAATTCAAATAAATATTAGAGAAGCCTGAATGATTCAAAGTAATTGAGTTAACTCATTTTTCTCCTTCAAATTGAAAAACTCTTTTGGCATCATTGAGAATAAGACTTAATTCTGCTGGATGCTGATTCTGTTTATCAAGTAACAAGAGATCTATATTTTGAAAAAGAAAATCCACGAATAAAAAACTAGTATTTTTTATAATCATATAAAACAGACATGCTATGCGTATACATAATCGTACAAACAGACATACTTGAAATTTAAAATATAATAATTAAAATAATTTCCTAATTTCAGCGTGATTTTGATCAGTTATGTCTTGTGGCAGAAAAAGAATCTTCAATTGCTTTTCTCAACAAAGAAAGGTCCAGAGTCTCTCGGACCATCATGATAGCAATAGGGAACATGAAACTAAATGCCGGAATGGAAGAGGAAAAATGGGAACTTTAGAACTAGAGTAACTGCTAGAATGGGGTATTGAAATACAGAATTATTCCACAATTAATTTCACTGAGACTTAGAACAGCTTCCAAATCTTTAAGGAGAAATTTTCCCCCATTTTCTCCTTTCTCTGCTAGTCTAAAAGTCCACTTTTAATGGATGAGGCAGCAAAATCATTTCTTACTGAAACTGAAATTTGCAGGCTCAGAGAGTGCTTTCTAAAATTTACTCTGTAAATCGGGTGCCTTAGAGACCACTTAGAGTTGCTCAGAGGTTACATCTGAGAGAGAATGAGATGCCCCAGTAACCCTCGACTAGAGCTCCTTGAGTGCTGGCAAATTCATTGTTCTGATGTCTGCATAAGGTTTCATTTGTAAGAAGGTTTTGCTAAAAGATAAAAGATCAAACAAAATGGAAATCATTGTCATAAAAAAAGATCCCCCCCAAAAAAGAAAAAAAAGAGAAAATATCCTGAGTTAATAAGGAATATTTTAGAATAAATGTCCACTACAGAATTAAATATTACTGCTCAAGAGAGAGGAAAATAAAATAAAAGCAAATAACAAGCCAAAAAGACACAGCAAATATTGGTCCACGAGCAAGAGGTTAAAAAAAAATGAGAGAGAGAGATATTACGAATCAGAACATGTAGCATTTTCTTTGCTGCATGCGAAATGGAGAAAGACCAGGTCTGGCTTTCTAGAAGTGAGAAGGGGCAGTGAGCACAGATTTGATCAGCTCCATCCTGCTGCATCCTTCCTGGTGAGGTGCCCACGTTCTGCATCCTTTTTCTATTTCCTCCCTCACGCTCCACTCCCTCTTTAATCAGCATGTGCCTTGATAATACTGAATTGATTTCTTTGTTCTTGTGTCCTCCCCTTTAGAAGATTTCCTACAGGCCTCTGCTGTATGAATTTTTATTACATATTCCTTTTAATGAGCCTCTCCCTCACCTCAGAAAATTTACTGATCACTCTTATTATGTCATGGCTAACATGCCTCGGCTTCTGTTCAAGGTTCTTTTAATTTAGTCTCAACTTTTCTCCACAGGAGCATTTCCCTGCTGCAAAGCAGACCTGTTCGTTACTCTCTGGCAGCAGGACCCTTCCTGGTACCATTTCTTCTTCCAGGAAAACACTCCCCCTTCCTCCACACCTAC